GCTTTGAACTCTTCAGTGTCTCCGTAATCGAGATGGCATTCATTGTATCAAACTATATGCAGTGTATTGGATAAAGCAAGCCACCCCATGTCCTGTATTCATTATCGGAACAATGCAGTTTGCCGGAGAGCTATGTCAATGTTAATATCGCAGCTGATCTTTGTCTTCTCTTTGTGAAGGTACCCGATTTCAAAGGTACCTGTTCGTGAGGTCAAATCCACCTTTCACCAAACATGAAAAGAATAGGTGAGAAATGTAAGGTGCACCTGCAAGCTTGGTCTTGCTGAATGGTCTGTGAGGTTTCAGCCGTATCATGGCTTCACCAACCTTGCAGTCTTCCCTTCTGAGACCCTGCTGCTGGCTGTGATTTCTGGGATGCTCTGCAATCTCTACCAGCAAACTCCCCTCCCTGTGTGGCTGAATAATGAGACGCATCGTGAATGTGGATGGGTGGCTGAATGGCGGAGGGAGGGAGTGACAGAGGGCCGTGGATCATGATGCTAGTATGAAGAGGATATTAGTGGAAGTGGCACTAAGCGACGGCAAGATGGAACTGGAAATTTCATTAGCATTTATTTTATATAAATAGTGTGACTCTGCACATCTCTCATTTTAATAGGGCTGTGTTTTCTTCAGCAACCATTTCAGGCTCTATGGGAAATGTAATAAGGAGTTGCAAAGTGACTTGATGATATCGGCAAGTCAGTCAAACCCTCAAAAGTAGTGGTTCTCAGTGTTTTTGACTCAAAGGACCTCCGTTGTCCAAAACAATATTCAAAGGCTCTACGATATAAGCTATTTCTGGTATTTCTTCTGTAACTGTGACAAAGCTGCTTGTTTTCAAACTTTTTTAATTAATAGAAACTGGAGGTATTGATATATTAAATTAATTATCCACAATTCATTTTATGATTTCAGAAGTTTTAAGAACTGGATGTTCTTCAGATAAAACAAAACAACAGTTATTGGGAAGGGAAAAATAAATATAATTTTTGTGAACATTTTTAATAAATTAAATTATTTAATATTAAATTATTTATTTGTATTGCATTATATGGAATGATTTAAATTTGTTTTTATTTTGTAAATTTATTTAGAATTTTAATTTAGGTTAGAGTTAGATTATTTTAAAATATGAATAACAATTATAATATTAATTATTTAATCATTATTATTTTTTAGTCATCTTGAGGCCCCTGTGGAAGTTTGTTGAGGCCCCAAATCAGCATTTTAGAATGATTTCTGAAGAATCACATGATGAAGACTGGAGTAATGGCTGCTAAAAAAAAAAAAAAAAAATCAGCTTTACATCACTGGAATAAATTACATTTTAAAATATATAGTAAAATATAAAATTGTATTTTAAATTGAGGTAATATTTCATAATATTACTATTTTTGGTTCATTAATGCAGCATGTGTAAGATACTTTTTTGAAAAATATAAAAAAATCACACAGACCCCAAACTTTTGAACGGGAGTGTATTTCAAAGTATTATAGTATTGTTATACGATACAATCACTGTACCATGGTACTGCAGCACTACTTTTGTCAAGAGTAAATGCTATAATTAAATGCCTTTTTTTATCATCTGTTTGGTGAAGAAGGAAAAAAAAGTGAAAATCAAAACTTTTGTGCTATTCCAACATGCTGCTCATCTTATAGAATTACCACAATTTGCAAAACTTGGATTTACAGTACATTCATTTTCCATTATGAGCTCCACATGTTGTCGTATCTTTTGATTTATGGCCTATGATTTATTTGACCATTTGCTCCAAGTTTTCATGCCAGCAAAATCTCTGGAAGATACTGAGCTGCCAGTCGAAAAGACAGCAAACACAAAGCAAAGCAATCTTTTAGAAAGTTTTAACAGCTGTTATTTATTTATTTTTCTCTTGCATATTATTTCAGTTATCGGGACGATGCATCACATTTGTCACACTGATTCACTGTGAAGCAATAACATTTAAGATGACTGAAATTTAATCAGAAAGCTTCAACACGATTACGGATATCCATGAGGAGGCCCTCCTCCACACAGTATGCGCTTTCAGATACGCTCACATTTGTCATGCAAAACAATCTCTCTACTGCTGTCAAAGAAACTAATGGAAAACACTGGGATTTATTTAGCTTTATGTAGTCACAAATTTCCGCTCTTTTAGCCAAAGAAGGGCAACTGGATTTATTATTTATATTCCTATGTAATATATAAAAAATGCTCAGGTTCTTTCTTTCTTTCTTTCTTTCTTTCTTTCTTTCTTTCTTCTTCTTCTACTTCTTATTATTTTAATGTAAGTTGTACATGTGCAAAAATTTGCCACCATGTTGATGAGGTGTTCCTTGAGTCCGCAGTTTAAGTCTAGTGGAAGATTGTTTTTATCCTCCAGAAGGAAAATATTAATATTTGAAATTCTCTGAATGACTAATTAGGTGTTTGAAATTTTTGCATGTATCATTCAGTTTAGACAGTTTGTCTAGATTGTTTAGTGTCCATGGCGTGAAGATGATGGAGAGCGATTAATGTCGCTGCGAGTTGCTGGAGGATTGAACGGGACTTGTGAGTGAGGGCACGGGTACAGCCTCCAATGTGTTGCCAGATCCAGTTATTATAAGCGTCTTTGGACTTGTTTTTTTCACTTAATGTGACACTTTCGGAAATGATATCGATAGTGATATCTTATTTCCAAAACACAAGATTTGAACTTATTTCGGTTTTTGTTTGTTTTTCATAGCAATATCTGGCAACACTGCATCACTGACACTTAAACTGATAGTAATCAAAAAAGGCCCATAGACAGTGTGGGCAGTTTCTGCACTACTAGTGTCATCTAGCGGAATTACAAAAATAAAGCATGTTTTCAAACAACCTTTGCTAATGGCCCGTATGTGCATCACGCCTTCCCCAACAAAAACATCACAAACACAGCTCTTACAGGTCTATAAAAGTGAAGGCATGTCTCAACATGTAAAAGCAGACTGGTTTCAATAAAAGGTCCAACATATTAGGAATATTTTTAACTTGAAGTTTAGCTTACCTGTCGAGAAGAAACTTTACAAGTTTGTCATAACAATTGAAACCCAAACGTTCCATCAAATTCCTCCATCTTGTAAAAACACTGTCAGTGTTTAGCCTTGTTTTACCCCGATGTCTGTCTCTGAGTATTTTGGACGGAATCTGAATTTCTGTTTCCATACTGGTTAATAACGTTTGGTTCAATCTGCTACAATAGCCACGTCCCAGACTCTTGATATTGGCTGCACTGAGGTACCAAATGCAATGATTGGACGAACATTTTGCTAATGGATGTTTAACACAGACAAGGTCTCTGCACTGAATTTGAAGGTAGCTAAACCTAAAATATTAATAAGTATTTGTGAGCATTGTTATTGTTTTTTTTTACCCCCAGACCATAAAATGTGCAAAAAAAAATAATAATAATAAAAAAAATTGAATAAAAAAAGTAGCCCAAGCCAAAAAGAGACTGTAATATCATAGCAAACTGCTAGTGTGTGTGTTTGGATGAGTACCATGTCTGATTTCCTTCCAGACTCATTCATTGTGTTTGGAAAGCACAGTACAATACGATCAGCCAACCATGCAAGGTGTCTGATACACCTTTTCACACTCTTAGAAGGGAGCCTGGCACCAGAGAGACATATTTGGACCACAGGCTGATCTTGATAAAGGCGGAAGACATTTATGGTCATTTACAGATAGAAAACAAAAACATATTTTTATTCTTAATTATTGCAATTAGTTACACACTGAGAATGAGACTGATAAATTGAAGTGTCTGGCCACTTATCTCTGCTCGTCAAACTCGCATATGCTTATCACAACCAGTGTGACACTTTCTACCCATCTAAATGGTGCATGGAAACATGAGAGATACTCTCCATGATAACAGAAACTTTTGAGATTATAAATGTATGCCGCTTGTAGAGAAAAGCTGAAATCAATGAACGATATGCACAGACAGTATCAGTGTGGATGACTTCCACTGTAATAGATTTGCCAGCTTATGAATGGAGTGGTGTACAGTATGATAAAAATATGGTTGTGTTTATGCCAGTGTTATTTAGTATTATTTTTTATACTGTTATAGTATTTATTAATGTTTGAGTTAGTTTAAATTTTTTTATTTTTAGTTTTCATTTTATTTTTAGTTTGTTTTAGTCATTTTGTAATGTACTTTTGTCAGTATGATGAAAATATGGTCGTGTTTATATAATTGTTTTCAGATTATTTACTGTATTTACTATCATTGTATTAATATTTTGAGTTAGTTTTATCTTCGTATTTTTTGTTTTAATTTAAATTTTAGTGGAAGTTTTTGTAATTTCGTAATGTGCTTTTGTCATTTCTATTAGTTTTTTTGTAAATATTTATATTTAGCTTCAATCTATTTATTTGATGTTTTATTTTAAATTAAATGTTTATTAATTTATTAATATTTATTTATTTTAAGTAATTGTATTACTTTAAAGTATATTAGTAATTGAATAATAAACTTACAAATGTATTTCAGCTAACAGTTCAGATAACAACAATAAATTAGTTAACAACTTTTTTATTTCAGGCATTGTTGTAGTTTTAGTTTTTCATCTTGATGTTTATATTGTATTTTATTTCAGCTTTTAGTAAAAAAAAAAAAGGATTTTCAGTAGCATAAGTTTTAGCCAACAAATATAAACACTGTTTTATTTTGTACCTAATATTTTCCCGGCTAGTCTTACTGCTACTGTCAGACCAAAAAGTGGAGTGAACACTTAAATGACATTTTAAAAATGTATAAATGTACAAGTGTCATTCATTTTGAGGGGAAATATAGCACAAGCACACCTTTCATGCATAATAATTCACAAAATAAATAAATAAATGAATATATAAATAAATAAATACATAAATCAAATGTGGCCACTGTATTTTGGTGTCGATCCTTCAGCTAATATCCTTATTATAAAAAGCTAATATTATAATTTTTTTGTACCAGAAATCCTGAATGGAGGCCTGTATGTGGATCAGAACAAGTTCTTGTGCCATGCTGACACCATCCACTGGAATGACATCATCAAGAACCCGCGGTCTGAACTTCTGGTGGTTCCTTCCAACAACAGTGGCAACTCATGTGAGTACTTCATTGAGCAGCTTTGACAAATGTTAATTATACTGTTATAAACACCCAGAAGATGGAGCAAGTGGCTATTGTGTTTTTCTATTTTTTTGCATGTAGAACTGTAACAATAACAGTCAATGTTAAAGGGGTCATATGGCGTTGCTAAAAAAGAACATTATTTTGTGTATTTGGTGTAATGAAATGTGTTTATGCGGTTTAAGGTTAAAAAAAGTCACATCTGAATATTTGGTTTGAACTGTTCTGGAACAGGGTTGTAAATACAAGTTAACCACTGATTTCTAGTTGTGTCCTCTTTTGGAAGGCCAAACAAAGTAGTTTCGCTTTCACAACGAAACACACAGCGTCTCCACGGCATGGCGGCTGCGGCAACAATACTACAACGAGAATTAAAGTTACGCCTTCTTTCTTTGCGTGAACATTTGGGCGGTGTTATGCAAATCTTCCCACATCGTGACGTAGACATGTGGGGGTGTGTTTAAACGAGGTGTATTAGGAGGGCGTGGGCGATTCTTAACTTTTATAAAGAATATCTCTTTGGGTTTGAGACTTTAGTCTTTGCAACTTTAGGGATCTTATCTATTCACGGACAGCTTGTAACACTCCAAAGAGAAAGGAAAACTTGAAATCGCATCATATGACCCCTTTAATTTATTCTGTGAATGTTGAGTCAGGTCCTTCAAACTCAATTTAAAAACTATTACATCTGCAATAGGGAACTATTCTGTGCAGAAAAAGAAAAGAAAGAAACTGCCTGTCAGTAGTACAATTCTAAGGCTGAGTGAATACATTTTACTACCAGTATAGAATACGAGATGTGGTATAAATGTTACAAGCTAAGTCAAATACGAATTCAAGTTCACATCTAGTGTCTGAACTATTTCAAAATTATCTTTGTTGATACATTTGAATGGACAGCTTCAGTTATATTGTTTTTATATGGAGCAGAAAATGTCATGGCTGATTATTCCGGATTCTTTCCGCAGGCAGACGGTGTCACAGATCTTGTAATGGACGTTGCTGGGGTCACCAGGAAGACCAGTGCCAAAGCTGTGAGTTTTAATTTATCTATCTACATCTACAATATGCCAGAGCATTATTATTGTCTATTCAGTGACAATATAGCAGTTTTAAGAAGTGAAGTAGCCCTGGATATTTACTTTATCTCAGATGCTCTTCTTAAAATTCCTTAGGGGTAATATAATTAAAAGTATCATAAGAAGTATGAATGCATTATAAATATACAGTCCTCTGGAGCCACCAATGGCTTTTTGTGACAAACAGACTCAAATGTAAGTTGTTTTTTGGATAAACTGTCTTGAACGAACAGTTGACCACACTTAAAATTCCTCTGGGAATGATAGATCAAAGTATCATTATATTTGAGCATTAAGAAGCACTTTTGAATGCTAGTTATTGAGTCTGCTTATTTGACTGTTGTGTCCAGACAGAATTTCATATTTGATTGTCTGCATCCACAGTATGTACTTTCTGTCTCGTATGTAATCAGAGTTTCATCAGAAGTAAACAGACCTTTATTATTTTTTCCTTCTATTTCTTTGTTTCTCTGTGTGGTTCTGAAGTTATACATTTTCATTTCTGACATATTTTCTAATAAAAGGCAAAAGTCTACTGTCTGGTATTGTCAGTTTGAGCCTCTGGGCCGGTAGCTGTAATAATTAACTGGTAGGAGGGTTATCAGAGTATCTCTACTATCTGTAACCTGCTGGTGATACAGCTCATAGTGTGGGTGGTAATTAGAGCAAAATAGGTGAAAGAAAGAAGGACAGATACAGACAGTTATCATAATCTCTTCTTGAGCTTTGGGTGTCAGAGCAATGCACTTTAACTCCATAAGACATTTGAGACTGCTGTTGACGACATGAAGTATTTCAAGTCTTGGAGATTACTGACTGATGAGACAGAGTGACAAACTTGTTATTTGACAGTGTCTGTTTTGGTTTTGCACACTACCTCACTTAACTAATTTAACTGTAGCTGTCAACTCAAGTATTACATTATCTTCTAGATCTCTAGATATATGCTAAGAATATGATGTGCATGGCCAGTAAATCAGTAGCAGAGTAAATTGCAGATATTTGACTACTTTGAGATTATCAGCATCAGCCAAAATCATGGCTGCCATGCCAGATTGTGTCAATTCCAATGTCTACAAAGAATTGTATTTATTTATTTATTTTGCAATGGATAATGTACATTTGATGTTTTAAAATATTTTAGAGTGAATTTTCAGCAAATAACTGTTCATTTTTATTTTCAGGAATTTACAGTATTAGTCAACTATATTTAATTTTCATTTTTTTGTGTGAAATTTTAATTAAAATGAATCATTATTTTGTTCGTTTAATCAAGCAATTAAGTTTTAAAATATTTTTTTTATTTATATTAGTTTTGTATATATATATATATATATATATATATATATATAAATAATTTGAAGTAAATATTGTTCAGATTATGTTAATTTTTTATATTATTATCGGTCATTTGTAACTTCCCTCTAGATATCGGAATTGCCATTTTTAGAATGAAGACAAAAGACAATTTGACCCAAAATAGCACATATCTATTGGCACTTGGTTTAGAAAAAATTTGGCGAGAAAACTATTTTTGATTCTTTCTCTCTCCATCTATATTCGCAATCATACAGTGACAAAGACGGTGTGTGCAGAGCAGTGTGATGGACGCTGTTTTGGTCCGTACGTCAGTAACTGCTGCCACCGTGAATGTGCAGGAGGCTGTACCGGACCCAAAGACACGGACTGCTTCGTATGTCAGCTCTTCCTGTATGGTTTTAAAGTGTAATAAATGTAATGACAAATGCCTGCTCACTTTTAAAATAATTTGAAAGTGAATGTGTTATACACTGAAAGCTCTGCAGACGTTTCTCTTCATTATAGGCATGTATTATCGATCAACCACATACTTACATGACTGTTTTTTTATTCTCAGGCTTGTACCAACTTTAATGACAGCGGGGCCTGTGTGACACAATGTCCTCAGCCATTCTTCTACAATCCAACAACCTTCCAGCTTGAACACAATCCCAACGCCAAATACACCTATGGAGCTTTCTGTGTCAAGA